TCCTCTGTTCCTTCCAAGTGATGCATCCCCAGCTTCTAACTAAAATTCTTGTTATTAATCCCTAAACGCATGACTTTACACTTCTCACTATTACATTTCATCCTATTACTCCAGTTTACAAGGTCATCCAGATCTTCCTGTATGATATCCCGATCCCTCTCTGTATTGGCAATACCTCCCAGCTCCGTGTCAACCGCAGACTTTATTAGGTTTCAGAGGAACAGCCGTGTTAGTCTGTATTCGCAAAAAGAAAAGGAGTACTTGTGGCACCTTAGAGACTAACCAATTTATTTGAGCATGAGCTTTCGTGAGCTACAGCTCACTTCATCAGATGTATACCGTGGAAACATTCCCACTTTTTGTGCCGAGGTCAGTAATAAAAAGATTGGTCCCAAAACCGATCCCTAAGGAACTCCACTAGTAACCTCCTTCCAGCCTGACAGTTCACCTTTCAGTATGACCCACTGTAGTCTCCCCTTTAACCAGTTCCTTATCCACCTTTCAATTTTCATATTGATCCCCATCTTTTCCAATTTAGCTAATAATTTCATGTACCAGTTCCTTTAATATTCTTGGATGAAGATTATCTGGGCCCCCCCGATTTAGTCCCATTAAGCTGTTCGAGTTTGGCTTCTAACTCGGAACTGGTAATATCTACCTCCATATCCTCATTCCCATTTGTCATCCTACCATTATCCCTAAGCTCCTCATTAAAGACTGAGGCAAAGTATTTGTTTAGAGATTGGGCCATGCCTAACCTCCACTCCATCCTCAGTGTTTAGCCGCTTCTTCTTTCTTTGTTTTCTTCTTATTTATATGGCTATAGAACCTTTTACTATTGGTTTTAATTCCCTTCGCAAGGTCCAACTCTACATAGCTTTTGGCCTTTTCATTTTATCCCTATATGTTCTGACCTCAATAAGGTAGCTTTCCTTGCTGATCGTTCCCATCTTCCAAACCTTGTATGCTTTCTGCTTTTTCTTAATCACCTCTCTGAGATGCCTGCCCATCCAGCCTGGACTACAACTCCTGCCAATGAATTTTTCCCCTTTCTTGGGATGCAGGCTTCTGATAGTTTCTGCAACTTTGACTTGAAGTAATTCCAGGCCTCCTCTGCCTTTAGAGCCACAAGTTCTTCAGTCCAATCCACTTCCCTAACAAATTTCCTTAATTTTTTGAAGATAGCCCTTTTGAAATAAAAAACCCTAGTCACAGATCTATTTTTGTTTATCCTTCCATTTAGTTTGAACTGAATTAGCCCATAATCGCTCAAACCAAGGTTGTCCCCTACAACCATTTCTTCTATGATGTCCTCACTATTCACCAAAACCAAATCTAAAATGGCATCCCCTCTTGTTGGTTCAGCAACTACTTGATGAAGAAATCCATCAGCTATCGCAGCCAGGAAAATCTGAGCCCTATTATTATTACTAGCACTTGTCCTCCATATCTGGGAAATTAAAGTCTCCCATGATCACACAATTCCCATGAATATTTACTTCATGAAAAACATTAAAGAGGTCTCTATCCATATCGGATCCCGCTGGTCTATAGCACACCCCAAGCACTATCCCAGGGGAGGCTCTAGCAGCTTTCTTCCCCAATGTGATTTTTGCCCAGACTGTCTTAACCATTCCATCACTTATTTGTCTCCAGTCTACCTCATCATTGATATACAATGCTATTCCACCACCTCTGCCTTTATTTCTGTCTTTCCTAAAAAGCATATACCCTTCAATACCCATACTCCAGTCATGACTACTATTCCACCATGTTTCTGTTATCCCTATAATATCTGGTTTCACTTCCTGCACCAGCAGCTCTAGTTACTCTATTTTGTTACCTAGGCTCCTCGCATTAGTGCACAAACATCTTAATTTTTGCTGTTTGGTTTCGCTCACATTCTTTACCCAATTAGGCACAGACATTCTACTGCCAGAATCACCTATTAGACTGGTATCTACACTACCCTTCCTCCTTATGTCCATTCTCCTACCCACAACTGTATCCATTCTTACTTTGTTTTCTTCCCTCTCAATGTTAAAATCCAGCATGGCGATTACCTGGACATCTCCCAACCATCTCCCCCAAATTTCTAGTTTAAAGCTCTCTTAATCAGTTGTGCCAGCCTCCATCCTAGAAGTCTATTTCCCTCCCAATTCAAGTGAAGTCCATCCCAAGAAAACAGTCCTCTGTCCATGAATGCTTCCCAGTGGCCATACATCCCGAAGCCCTCCTTATAGCACCACTGCCTGAGCCATCTGTTGATCATCATAATCTTGTCACACCTTTGTTGCCCTTCTCTAGGAACAGGCAGAATCTCACTGAAGATCACCTGAGCCTCGATTTCCTTAAGTGTCTTCCCCAGCCTGGCATAGTCTCCCTTGATACGTTCCAGTGAGAATCTAACCCTATCATTTGTTCCCACATGAAGGACAATCAGTGGATTCTTTCCCGCTCCCGTTAGGATCCTCTTCAGCCTCAGGTCCACATCCCGTATCTTAGTCCCTGGCAGAGAGCACACCCTTCTGTTCTCTGGATCAGCTGTGGTTACAGGCCTGTCTATTCTTCTCAGTAAGGAGTCCCCAATCACACAGTCGTGCCTTTTCCTGGTGATGGTGCAATTCTCCGGTCTATCCCCTGTTCCCTCTGGCTGCTAGTCCTCTCGATTCCTATGGTCCCTTGCAATCCTCTGCAACCCATCCCATATCCCCCTCAGGCTCATATTTGGTGTTATCTCCATTGACTCGTCCCCTCTTCCTATAGGACTAGCTGCTCTTCTCTTCTTCCTTGCCCTCTCACCTTCAGTATCACCTGCTGTGCCCCTTCTTCCTTTCCCAACTCCACAAACCTGTTCCTGAGCTCTATTTCTCCTTCACTAGCCCGTCTTTTCCTCTACCTGGTTCTCTTAGTCACAGGATTCCACTGTCCACTTCCCTCACCTAGAACTAGAAGACTCCCCTCAGAGTTATTTGGTCCTGCTTCCATCTGCAAGTCTGAGCTTTTCCCTTCAGGCTCCTCATGTCTTTGCTCCATCATCCGCTCGAACCCCATTCTAAACTCAACCAGAGTTTCCACCTGCATCTCCAGTCCTCGGATCTTTTCTTCCATCAGCTCTACCAGGCGGCACTTCATGCAGACGAAACTCTTTTCAGGTATCCCCTCCAGGATCACGTACATGCCACAGCTTCCACATCCAGTCATCTTCATTGTGTCTTCCACTGCATGGGTCACTCCCACTGCTGCCTCTGTATCTGTCATTGCCTTCCCACCTAAATCCTGTTAGTCCAGGAAACAAACCAAACCAAAACACCACCACCCACAGCAAAACAAACCCCCAACGAGCACCAAAACACTGCCAGACCACCACACACTCCCTTCACTAGCCTATCTGTTCCTTTGCCTGGCTCTCTTAGTCTTCCCTGCAAACTCCCCTTGCAAACTCCCACTCAAACTACCCTGTTTACAGCTCTGTTTGCTGGCTCCTGTGCCGCTGCAGCTGTCTGTGCTGCTGCCTGACTGGCTGGCTACCTTTATAGGACCCCTAGTCAGAGAAAACCTGCCCCCTAATCAGGGCTCAGCTTCTCTCCCAGCACACTGCCCCTACCAGCCTCTGGAGGCATACAAATACAAAGACAAATACCTACAAATACCTTCTCCTCCAGCGGAATACCTTCTGTGACTGTGTCTGTTGTGAAGGAATGAAGAAGACTCTCATGCAAGCATTCAAGGGTTCTGTCCATCCGTCCAGGGAGGACAAGACCTGAACAAGCATTTGAACCATAATTTCCATGATGACAGGCTGGTAAACACATTGAGGCTGACCAGCTTCATAGCTTCTTGAGGTGCAGTTTAGCATATTGCACCATGTAAGTGCATGCTCCCATGCGCCACAGAAGCTCGTGGCAGTTTTACATTGTATTGACAGAATAGGCCTTTAAATCTAGACCAGTGATTCTCAACCTATTTACTATTGTGGGACACACGTGTTATGTGGGCCACATCCACATAATACACTACTTGCAAGGCCCTGAGGATGTCACATGGGCCGCAGCTGATCTAGAGTAATACCCTGTTTTGTTTGGAAACTCAACCCTGGCAGGAAATCCTTGGCCTTTGTAGAGTCCAGGACCACCCCAATAAATTCTATTCTCTATACAGCAGTCAGCATAGATTTCTCCATATTGATTAGGACCCCTGCACATTTAAGTTGGACTCTATGGTGGCCAAGCTGGACGGTACCCGAGTCCTGGACTGGCCTCTTACTAGCCAGTAGTCTAGGTAAGGGAATATGTGGACTCCTGACTTTTCCAGAACACCACTGCCACATGCTTCATTAACACATGAGGATCTGCTCACAGGGCAAAGGGCAGTATTGTGAATTGATAGTGGGAGTTGTTGACCACAAATCTGAGGAATTTTTGGTTAGATCAGGAAGTTAGATCTCTAGTTCTTTTGTGCTATCTTAAGTAAAGTGTAATTGTGTTTAGAATTATCTGAGATGCCTCTGTGTGTGTGTGTGTGTGTGTGTGTGTTTGTTTGCTTCACCTATCTTATACCTTGAGGAGTTTAAACTGTAAACACAGACCACACACAAGGTGGAACTCCGGGAAAGGGAGTGGTCCCGGGAAGCCTGAGGGGTCAGCAATGGTCCTGGGGACCTAGGGCAGCTGGGACACAGGGCCCATTTCCATGAAGGGGTGAAAGACAGCTTGAGCCTAGGAAATGCGCCCGTGGCCAAAAGACAGTGCTGCAACCTATTGAGATTAAGAGACCCTTAAGAGCACCAGGGTCTAGTGTATTAGGTCCCAACACAAGATCCTGGTGAGTATTCAGCAGAGGAAGTTTTACCAGGGCCATTTGTGATCCTGGTGATTTTGGAGTTCTGCTGCTATACTGGAGAGCTGGGTACAGAGTTAATCAGAATATCACAAAGCTGTTTCAAAGTGCATTCTATATTTTGGACATAACTTTTAGAAAATACAACAAAAATGTTATTTACCAGGTATTTACAGATACCGTTCTGGAGGATGTCAAAACACTGACTTCGTGAAGGTATAGTGGACAAGCTGTGACATACCACCTGTTTAAATGAAAGAAAACAAACAGTTATATTTATGAATTTAACACATATGTGACAGGCAAATATGGTATTTATTGTACATACATCTGTGTGTACACATATGAATACATGGGCATATGTGGACACACAATAGCTATCCCTCTTAAAGTGCTGATCCTTTTTCAAAATTTTAAAAGTAACCTTTAGTGTTACAAAAGAAACTGCCTGGGTCAGAAATCACCAAATACAAATAAAACAGCAGAAAGAGACATTTGGGGATGCAAGAAATACGTTATTAATGGACAGCTGACTGGAATGGGAGTCAGGAGACCCGGATTCTAATTCTCACCTCTGCCAACCATCTGTTGTATGACTTTGGGCAAGTCACTTTACCTCTCTGTGCTTGTCTCCCATCCCATACTTTGTCTGTCTTGTCTATTTAGATTGTAAACTCTTTGGAGGGACCACTGTTATACTAATTTAGATTAAACAAATGGGCGAAAAGTGTTAACATAACCCAGTCACTGTCCATCATTAATCAGTGTCAAACAAGGTTCGCGTTTTGGTATGCAGAGAGCTCAGCCTGCTTAGTACCATGGCAAACACATTATTAAAAATCCTTTTAACCTTTTATTAAAGATTAAAAAAAGAAGAAAAACAGTTAAAGCTTTTGAAATGTGAAGTACTGAATAAGGCTTTCATTTTAACATCCCTTATTCTCTTTCCCTTTAGCTGGAGAGTTTTTAGAAGGAAAACCCCCCTTGTTTGACAGGCAGTATCGAAGATTGTAATAATTGTCCTTCTGGGAAAAAGAAGTTAGCCGAGATGGGCTGGAGCCATTGCTACTGCTGCTGAAGTCCAATCCTGATTCATCCCAGGTGGTGTCTGGGATTCAGCTGGAGCCGTAGAGGTGGCAATATCATTTAGGTCCCTCATTCTAGTCCAGTCTTGTCAGGACATCTCTCAGGATCAGGATGAAGGCCTGGGGTCCCAGGACATGACGAGGGTGGCCGTCATGATGGTGAAGCTTGCTCCAGTAGCCAATTTTTCTCCCAATTTCTCTTTAATGACCCATAAAAGGGAATGGTGGATGAAATAGCCCACCCCCTCATTATTTTGTCCAGCAATACAGCCTAGATTCCAACACACCAATTTTGATTCACGGATTTCTGGTTCCACACTTTTCTTTTTACCAAGCAACCATGATCTTAAAACAGTCCTTGAGTTGTATCAGCAGAACTTTCTGTTTGGACAAATTCAGTCCATCTCCACTTCACATCTTCCCCCACAAACATTTGTTTTTATAGGTTATTGTGCCATCTTACCTTTCACATACTTTTTACAGTTGAGCTCACAATAAGGGTGAATATGTAGGCCCCACTTATCATAACACCACCCCTTTTTACAGTCCCTAGCACAATGGGGTCCAAATCTCAACTGGGATTTTAGGCGGCCCTGTAATATAAATAACAAACTACTTTTTGCTAACTATAACACGCTACATTAATGGGGAAGTGAAATGACTTCTTGATCTGTCCTTTAAAAAACCGGATATCAGATAGCAAGATCAAAACCTCAAGCAAGGTATGACTAGCTGTCCCCAAATTGTACAAATATCAACTAACAAAGCAGGGGAGATTCTTCTGGTCACACCCCCTTCTCCAGCTTGCTGCCAAATGATTCATTCCAAAACTGTGAAAATCTCTTTGAATAGAATTATTAATAATAATGTCCATGCCAACCACTAAATTATGTACAACAGGATAACTAACCCAATAATCTGTAGATATAAAAGTTAAATTATCCCTTTGCTAAGAGGGAGGGTAGAATTGTGGAAGACACTGGTAGCAGAAAGGAAGTTATTGGGCAAAAAAATTCTCATTCTGCAGCCCCATGTCTCCCGTGATTTTGATATGTACAGGACGTAGCAAGCAACAAACAGAAGAAGACAGGGATAAAGAAATAGAATGAGATGAAGAAAGTCTCCCCCCACATAAAAATTAACTACCAAAATGGCAAGCTATTTCTGGATCACTACGTGCAGCACCTTCCTGCTGAAGGATTCCTCTGAAGAGGACAGAAAGTCCAACTCATAGTGTCTAATGAAGGAACTAATAGAGGACCATGTTGCTGCTCTGCAGATCCCTGCAGAGGACATGCAGGCTCTTTCCGCCTATGACGTTGTCAAAGACCCAGTGCGGTGTACTTTGATTCCATGCCTCTACAATGCATAATATGATTAATCTGGCTAAAGACAGTTTGGATATCCAGAGCCATTGACTCTTTGGGGTAAGGATATGAACATGATGCCCAATCTTCTTGTTGATGTGGTAGGCTGGATGGCAATCTTTAGTACTCTATGAACATTCAGATTATGTCACATCATTTCTGTAGGATGCCATGTCTCTGGATAGAACAACGGGAAGATGATCTCCTGCGAGGCATGGAAAGTTGAGTTCTTCTTTAGCAAGAAAGATTCTGAAGTCCTTAACACTATCTTGCCATCATGGAACACAGAACAAGGTTCCTGCATGGATAAAACTGCCACTCCAACACTCATCCAGCAGACGTGACAGCAATCAAGAAACAGGTTTTTATGGGTAGGTAGAATGGTGTGACCAACGTAAATGGTTCAGGTGGATTGTTAGGGATTTTAGCACCAGAACTAGATCCATTTCAGAAAGACTGGTCTGACCACAAGTCTAGCCAGTTTGACTGCTTTGGGAAATTTCAGTATTCCTCTGCCAAGGAACCCAAGGACCCTGCGTATAAAGTACAACTTATGGCCAATCCCTAGTGTGCTACAGATCTGGGCTAGAGTCCTTTGACCACACCGTCCTGAAGAAAGTCCAGAATATCTGGAATTCCAAGGTCCTTGGGGATCGTTTCCTTGACACTACAAGCTAAACCTTGTCCAGAAGACAGAGTAGGCTTTTACTCTCCTTCAGACAGACTTCAAAACTAGAATCCCAATCATTCATGAAGATAGTCAGACCACGATTAGTGCTTCCCTCTCAATAGCCTTGTGGTCAGTTATATACAGTCTGGGTCTAGATGGAAGATATGATCTTGGTGAAGATGTCTGGCCTCACATATAGATTCAATGGAGGTTCTAATGCCAAGTCTACCACAGGCCAATGGTCAAGGGTTTCTTTGGCCAGTGTGGAGATCTTTGCTTTCTCTCTCCTTATCTTCTGGATCTCCTTTCCTAGAAATGGAAGAGGAGAGAATAAGAACATAAGAACGGCTATACTGGGTCAGACCAATGGTCCATCCAGACCAGTATCCTATCCTCAAACAGCGGCCAATGCCAGGTGCTTCAGAGGGAATGAACAGAACAGGTAATCATCAAGTAATATATCCCCCGTCACCGATTCCCAGCTTCTGGCAAACAAGGTAAGGGACACTTCAGAGTACGATTTTGCATCCCTGCTCACCTGGGCTAATAACCATTGATGGACCTATTCTCCATGAATGTATCTAGTTCTTTTTTGAACCCTATTATAGTCTTGGCTTTCACAACATCCTCTGGCAAAGTTCCACAGATTGACTGTGCGTTGTGTGAAGATATACTTCTTTTTGTTCGTTTTAAATCTGCTGCCTATTAATTTCATTTGGTGACCCCTAATTCTTGTGTTATGAAAAGGAATAAACACTTCCTTATTTACTTTCTCCACAGCAGTCATGATTTTATAGACCTCAATCATATCCTCCCTTAGTCGTCTCTTTTCCAAGCTGAAAAGTCACAGTTTTACTACTCTCTCCTCAGATAGAAGCTGTTCCATACCCCTAATCATTTTGGTTGCCCTTTTCTGTACCTTTGCCCCATCTCAAAAAAGATATATTAGAATTGGAAACCAGATCTGCACACAGTATTAAGACGTAGGCATACCATGGATTTATATGGATTTATATAGAGGCAATACAATATTTTCTGTCTTATTATCTATCCCTTTCCTAATGATTCCCAACATTCTGTTCACTTTTTTGACTGCCACTGCACACTGAGTGGATGTTTTCAGAGAGCTATCCACAATGACTCCAAGATTTCTTTCTTGAGTGGTAACAGCTAATTTAGACCCCATCGTTTTATATGTATAGTTGGGAGTACGTTTTCCAATGTGCATTACTTTGCATTTATCAACACTGAATTTCATCTACCATTTTGTTACCCAGTTTTGTGAGATCCCTTTGTAACTCTTCACAGTCTGCTTTGGACTTAACTATCTTGAGTATGTTTGTGTCATCTGCAAATTTTACCACCTCACTGTTTTACCCCCTTTTCCAGCTCATTTATGAATATGTTAAATATGACTGGTCCCAGTACAGACCCCTGGGCAACATCACTATTTACCCTCTCCATTCTGAATACTGAACATTTATTCCTACACTTTGTTTCCTACCTTTTAACCAGTTACTGATCCATGCGAGGAATCTCCTTCTTATCCCATGACAGCTTACTTTGCGTAAGAGCCTTTGGTGAGGGATCTTGTCAAAGATTTTCTGAAAATATATGTACACTATATCCACTGAATCCCCCGTCACATGCTTGTTGACTCCCTCAAAATATTATAGTAGATTGCTGAGGCACGATTTCCCTTTTCAAAAACCAGGTTGACTCTTCTCCAATAAATTGTGTTCATCTATGTGTCTGATAATTCTGTTCTTTACTATAGTTTCAATCAATTTGCCTGGTACTGAAGTTAGGCTTGCCAGTCTGTAATTGCCAGGATCACCTCTGGAGCAACACATTAACTATCCTCCAGTCATCTGGCACAGAAGCTGATTTAAAGGATAGGTTACATACCACAGTTAGTAGTTCTGCAATTTCACATTTGGGTGAATATCATCTGGCCCTGGTGACTTATTACTGTTTAGTTTATCAATTTGTTCCAAAACCTCCTCTAATGACATCTCAATCTGGGACAGTTCCTCAGATTTGTCACCTAAAAAGAATGGCTCAGGTTTGGGAATCTCCCTTACATCCTCAGCCATGAAGACAAATGCAAAAAATTCATTTAGTTTCTCCGCAATGGCCTTATCTTCTTTAAGTGCTCCTTCAGCATCTCGATTGTCCAGTGGCCCCACTGGTTATTTAGCAGGCTTCCTACTTCTGATGTACTCAATTTTTTTTGCTCTTACTTATTGAGTCTTTGGCTAGCCATCCTTCAAATTCTTTTTTGGCTTTCCTAATTATATTTTACACTTCATTTGCCAGAGGAGGAGACATGGCTAGCAGAGACTGCACTACAGCTTTGAACTGCCCCCAGAAACTGCAGAAAAGAGGGGAATAGCCCATATGTACCAGAATTGTGGGAGATACTGGGCTGCAGAAATTATCTCAACTTATTGCTAAGCAACTCTGATCCCATCAGATCTTGCAAGTTGAACAGTATCAGAGTAGGTAAGGTCAGTACTTGGATGAAAGAAATTCAAGGAACACGTAAGTGTTTCAGCAAGCAGTGCTGATACAATAGGAAACATTTTTCCCACGGTATCAAAAATAAACCAACGCCCTATTATGCTGCTGGGACTGCATACTACTCGAAGCATTGTCTTTTGGAGAACACAATGCTGAGGTCTATCACTTCTGATTAGGTATAATTCCATGGCATTTTCAAAACTATACAAGCTGTTAATCATGGTATCCTGGCCAAATTCTCATGTGATTTTTCCAGATATTTCAACCTAAGTTGCCCCCACAGCATCAAACAGATATTGTATTCATCTTCATTTCCAATCCTGTGGTTGTGTACTATTAAATTATTAAATTATTATTAAATTATTATTAAATTATTATTAAATTATTGTGTACAATAATGTGGTTGTGTACTATTAAACTATTATTACACTTAATCCCAGATATGGTTGCATTTCAGTGGTAGGTAAAGTGGTTGTAATGTATGCAGTTTGTATGTCAATGAAAAATTGGTGAAGTGCTTTGGGATCTTTCAAGATGAAAGGTACATTATAAATTCATATACTAGCCCAGGAGAGAGACTGGAGTATAACCAATTGAACCTACTGATTATCTTGTAACAGAAACAAAGTCCTATCTAGAACACAAACCGATATTTCGAAACACTACAAGCACCTACGGTCAATAGAGGGCACCACTTAAGACAGAAAAGACTGTAAGCAGTAACATACCACTATCATTTAAATGATACTATTGAGGTTCTTCCTGACCTCCCCACTAAGTACCCCCATACATCATGACCCTCAATTTCTTGTTTCCTTGTTACTACATGCAGAGGTATCAAGACGACCCCAAAATCAGAGCTCAGATTAACCAAATAAAACATACATACATGATGGACCTATTAATTAAAAACATTAATCTCACTGAATCAAAGACACCTAGTTACTTCTTGCCCCAAAAACTACTTTGTGGAACCTGCTATAGTTATAGTGAGTTCAGAGCAGGCTCACACAATTACCATTCTGCCATCACTATCCACTGAAAAGCCAACAGGCGTAAGAGAGATTTGACCTGCTCCTTATGTTGGCCCATAAAAGTTCTCAACCTGATCCTCAAGATCTTCCTTCCTAAGGTGTTTGTTTTAGCCAAACAAAAATGAACAAGATCCATAATGGGCCCATGTCTCTAAGGTTTGTGACCCAGTGTCTGTTCATAGTTTTAAATAGCCACCCCCTATGTCAAACAAAAACATAAATAATCCAAAATACCAAAAGCCAAATTCCAAGCTTTCTCTGTTGAAGTTCCTACTTGGAAGCACCCTGGCTGATCACTCAGCTTCCTCTCCAGCTACACCCATGCAAGGTCAACAGCTAAGCTTGGAAGGATTTTTATTGGTAAATGTCAGTAAATGTCGATTTCTCCACACACACACACCCCCAATGAAAAATATTTATATCAATAAAAACTGAAAATTACAGATAGGCAAAGAAAGAAAAATTACTGCTTGAGCACTCATGTTTCATTTCAAGATATTTACCTTGTAGATTTTGACATGTGATTTTGACAATTGTGTTTTAATGGTTATAAAGCTTTAACTTTTTGAATTTCATCATCTACTGTCATTAAATAATTGTCTGACCTCCCCTATTGTCTGCTCTTATACATTCCCCCATTTTTTAAAAATAGAAAAAATGCTTAAAAATAAACAATATTACTAAAAAATTTAAAGTTGAATTCTGCCAAGCCTATCAACATATTATTAAAGACCTAACTGGCAAGCTAACAAGGCCCACTGCCAAACAAACCCCACTTCTTAAACCCAGCAGATCCTGGATGAACCACTTGGTGAAAATAAAGATCTGAGCTTCTCTCCTGGCACCAGCTTAGAGACAGGGTGTTGTCAGTCCAGAAAGGTATTTTCATTGAACCCCAAATTGACAGAATACCTCCCACCATAAATTTAGTTCTTCCCAGCCAACGATGGAAGAACCCAGAGCTGCAAGTTAACAGCAACATAGTGCTGAATAGTAGGGTGTTTAATTACCAGTGCTATGTTGTTCTCTAGAAGTTATTTTTTCCAATTCTCTTTGAATCCTCCTTACCTTCAACCAAAACAAACATTCTGTGTGTCCAATTCTATTTTCATATTTCTAAAGCAATAATGGAAATTATTTTCATTAATATAAATTAAATCTTGTTTGAAATGTCTGTCCAATAATAAATGTCTGTTATAAAAGTGAAACTCAAATTTGGTTAGACATGGAAATGAACAGCAAAGAAAACTTAATTATCACTTCAAAATTAGTATATTTTCTTACAATTTATTTTCCTTAGGCAAGGGTTTGCATAGTGTTTAATTTCCATGCTAGAACGTCACAGCAGAATCATTATTTTACATTTAATTAGCATTTATCACATTTTTAGCACACTCATAACAAATTGCCCTTGGACCAAAGCCAGAGCAATTTTGTTTCAGAATATTATAGAAGTGAATGGACACAGAAAAAAGTCTGTACATTTTAAACTGGTATAAAAATTAAGCTTCAAGAAAAGCATTTTGTTGTGAGTTAACTTTTTATTTTGATCAAATGGCCACCTGAATAAATTAAGCCTAAGCTATACAGAAGGATGATTTTACATATTGGAAATAACCATAAGCACAATGGAGGATACACAAAGCATTCAGTGGCATATTTTCAAACCAATGCTCAACATTCTAGCAGCTTGACTACCTCTTATGTTAAGCAGAGCCACATCATTAAAATATCACATTCTGAAAACTCACT